GATGGCAAGTGAACATGACCTTCGAATAGATCCATTTGATTAAGTACAAATTCTCATTTTGTAACTTATATTCATACAAAAAATAATTGGTCATTTTGGTTTTGTTATAAGCATAGTTATTATATATAGAATATCCTTTGGTTATGAAGATGATAACTCCTCATCTATTTAACAATGAAGGTGTTAGAAATTTCGTTAAGCGTATGTGTTCAAGATTTGATATAAATGTATGAAACAGAATTTTCGACCTATATACTGAATACCATTTTTATATATGTGGTATATGACGAAAGAGTGTCTGATTCGCCACCTCATCTTTTTATGAGTAACTAATAATAACACCAATTATGCATTTCGAAAGTTAGGCTATATGAATTTTTACTTCTTTGTTTAATCTTAATTCATGTTAATGTAATTGTTGGATAATTATAATTATAAATAATAAATTATTCAAATTAATACATATCTGACAGTTTGGCCGAGTGGTCTAAGGCGCCAGATTTAGGCTCTGGTCCGAAAGGGCGTGGGTTCAAATCCCACAGCTGTCAATAATTTTTTTCGATTTTTAAAAAACTTAATTTCTAATCTTGTTTTTCTTCTATACTATAACAGTATAACTAGTTTTTTATTTGTCTAAGTTTTGATAAATAATATAATTTGATATTTATATTGATAAGAAATAGTAAATATATCACAAAATTAATTGAAATATACATAAACTTATTTGAACACTGTAAAAATTTTAGGTGAAAAAAGAAAGTAAGAGGAAGCAAAATTTGTCCCAAAGCACCACAATCTTTACTATATATGTTAAAGCAAAGATTTAACAAATCTCAACTTTTATAGTCATACATATATTCTAATACGTTTAAGATCATGTATTTTAACAAAATGATAATACAAAAATTGTACTCTATGATATATTTTAAACCAAAAGCCTAATTTATTTTTTAATTTTTTTGTTAATTTAAATTACGTCACATAAATTATAATAAAGAAAGTATATTTAGCAAATTAAATAGCAAGTTTAGTTTCTTTTTGACATGATAACAAAAACAATACAAATTATTCACACTAAATCTTATTCCCATGCCTTATTTGATTATTTATCAATGAGATCAATTCATACACAATTTTCATGATTGAAAAACAAAAATGTTAATAAATCAACTATAATACAACTTTTTTATGATTGAAAAACGAAAATGTTTATCAATCAATTACTAATTTCATAATAATTACGTATATACACAAAAACATGTATCAGGTCCTTATTAATTTGAAACAAACTTCGCGTATGAAAAAAATTCTACCTTGAGTTACAGAAGAAAGATGATCAAAACTTAGTTATCGGTGATCCACTTGAAATTTGATACTAATACCCGATCGGAGGAAACATCAAGGGATATATTTGTTGAGCTTATTATCGACGAGATTAAAAATAATCGATTCGTATAACGGGGGATAAATCTTACCAATAAAACAATAAGAGGGGTAGGAATAAACTTTCACCCAAACTAGAGGGGCCACTTATAGTCAAATCAAAACAATTGGGGTAATTATCGATATTATCAGAAAAAAGCTCATCCCCAAACCCTAATATATAAACAGCGGCAGCCATTTTTGTGAGCTTCCACTGCAAATTAGGGTTTCTTCAAGCTGCTGAGTATCTCTGAATTTTCTCACTATCAAGCTCAGCTGAAGCCATGGTACTATTTCTCGTGCTGAAATTTCCATTTCATTACTGAAGATTTGCTGTTTATGTCGATTATATTTAGTTTGATTTGATTAATTTGAATTGAAAAACTGTATGTTCGATGAAATTGTTTGTTTGTAGTCGAGGAGAAAGACCAGGGAGCCTAAGGAAGAGACTGTTACACTTGGACCAGCAACGAGGGAAGGTGAATTGGTGTTCGGTGTTGCACACATTTTTGCATCGTTCAATGATACATTCATTGTGAGTGAGTTATGGTTTTTGAAAATTTGATGTAGAAATGTAGATTTGGCTTTGTTATTTGTGTGTTTTACTGATTCTTAGTGTATGTGATGAATGCAGCACGTTACTGATTTGTCTGGAAGAGAAACTATGGTTCGCATTACTGGTATGCCTTATAGAAACAATTGTTTTATACTTTTGACTGTATCCTTGTAGTTACTGATTAGCTGGTAGCAGTATAATTGTTGCTTTCGATGCGAACATCGGTTTATGTATAAATGTAGATGCCTTTCTTCCAGGATGCTAATTCTGTTGTTGTTATCCCTATTGGATAGACATATATTTACTTTTTCAATATAGATGAATGTAAGTGGTAGGAAATGTAGAGCATCTATAGTTTTAGGGAAATCAAGAATGTAGAGCATCTATAGTTTTAGGGAATCCTTGATATGGTTGAGGCAGCAAATTATTGGTATTAGAATATAATCCTTCTAGGAAGAAGGAAAATGGGTATAGAGGTTCCGTCTAGTGTGGAGTTTAATCTTAGTTGTTGATGTCGTAATGGTATGGAGAAGCCTTTCATCTCAAATTGTTATACATTTTTGTTGCAGGTGGAATGAAGGTGAAGGCTGACAGAGATGAGTCTTCTCCGTATGCTGCTATGCTTGCAGCTCAGGATGTGTCACAGCGATGCAAGGTAGTGTCTTGTTTGGTTCTGATAAAGTCAATTTCCTTAATTCTACTTAATTGTTAGTTAAGCTCATCAGATATAAAGTTGGTCTAGTTCAGGTCTATATCAATATAAACCATTTATGTATGAACGAAAAAAATGAAGACTTTTTGCCTATATGGTACTGTTCACAGAGATTAATATTAGATTTTATTTCTGAAGAAAGTCACTATACTAATTTCACTGGATATTGATGTAATGTTTAGTTCTCCTGGATGTTGCATTCCATGTTGGTGCAGGGATTTATCCTTTCTTGCATTGACCAGTAATATAGGTGCCAAATTACATAGCTCTTCTATAAGTGTAGAGTGTTGCTTTGTAGATAAAATTTAGCAGTTTCGAAATTTAAGACCTTTTGGATCTTCTGATGCCTCCCTTTTCTGAATGTGTGCTAAAGCCAATAATTCTGCCGACTAGACATTCGAAGATCTTATAATGTACATGATGGCCTTTACTCCTATCTATGTTTCTTGCTAGGATGTAGATGGTCTATAAGATTGTTTTTGGGTTCCATATGCCTGATGCATCTTACTTTTGCTTAACAATAAAAAATTTGTGTATAATTGATTGGAATAAATGCCATTCCTTCGAACATATTGTAGAGACCCGTAGATTTTATGTCACCGGTTTGGATCTATTAGGCTTTGTTATGGAAGATTCCATTCTGAAGTGATGTGTGCACCTTCAATTTTCGGACACTTTTACCACTAACAGTTGCATAATCGCTGGTGGTGCTTGAACTATGGAAAAATGTGTGCTTCAGATTCTATTTAAGCGTCAAGGTTTCGGAATGGTGGTCAGAATCATTGTTAATGGGTTCCATGCTATGCCATTTATTCAGAGTCTAAATATAGCTACACTATATTTAAGACTCAAGCTCGGATACGTCCATCTTTATCCATCTAGTCTGATGTCACTAGGTCTCGTCATCACTTGTTAATCTTTTAAAATATTATTTATGAACTTTTGATTTACAGGAACTTGGAATTAATGCTCTTCACATTAAGCTCCGAGCTACAGGAGGCAACAAGACCAAGACTCCTGGTCCTGGTGCCCAGTCCGCTCTTAGAGCTTTGGCTCGTTCTGGCATGAAAATTGGACGTATAGGTACATAAGCTTTTCTCTCTTGCATCAGTATCGTATCATGGCAAAGTTCTCGTAATATGCTCCATATAATCTGTTGTATCATTGTTATGTCATCACTTTTAAGTAATTCTTCCTATATATTTTGCAGAGGATGTTACTCCAATTCCCACCGATAGTACTCGCAGAAAGGGTGGTAGAAGGGGAAGGAGGCTGTGAAGACTCTTTCTCTTTTCTGCAGCATGTTGCAAATTGGAGGAAAATATTGTTGTCGAAAAATGCAGCTTTCGATATCTATTTACATTTGATTTCTGAACACTCTGTAGTTGAGCACTTTTGGTTTCGAAACCACCTTCATTTTGAGTTTGCCAGCTTTTCGAGATAGTTAAGTTCTCTTAAATTTGGTTTATGCAGGCTAATTGTTGGATAAATTTATACTCTTTTTATCTTCACAATTCTGTTAGTTATAAAGCTTTATTTCATTATGGATATATACTTGATAAAACGAATTGCATAAACAACTGTTTTCAGGACGTTGTATAGTCGAAATTTATAAAGATGAAATTGAGATTTTGAAATTATACAATTTTAGTATAAATATTTGAATAAAATCATTCAAAGATTAACTATTATTTCAAAGTAAAACATGGAATAAAGTTTAACCCCCAAATAGTATTTTGAAACAAGCTATGTTTGAAATAAAAAGATACCTTTCAATAACAAATTGGAAAATTAGGAAGTCTTATATTAAAGACTAGTAAAAACAACTTTTACATGCATTATTTACTTGAAGAGGAAAGACTCAAATATGTCATCGTATTAAAAATTTGACTCATCATTCATATCATTATTTGTTAATTGAAATGATATATATGAATCAATTTTTTTTTAAAATGACATAAATGAATCTTTTTTTTTTTATAAGTTTGATGACATGCTTGAGTTTTTGTCCTTTTTAAAACGTGATTTAATTAATGTCATCCATATCACATGTAAAAGATAATTTTGCAAAATCAAAACTGTTTTTAGGTAACAAATAATGACATGGATAAATTTTTTTTATAAAAAGAAAAATGACATAAATAAACTAAACTTTTAACGATTGATGTACATGAATCTTTTTCTCAAAGTTCGATGACACATTTGAAGTTTTCTCTTTATTAAAAGATTTCTTTGTTTTTTTTTTGCAAGAAATGGATCTTCAATTTGGGCCTATACAGATCTCTTCGGCCCAACCAGCAATATGTAGGTCCATTCACTCTTTAGCCCATTAATCCTATGCTAAAACCCTAATTGTTGAGTCTATAAATCTCTATTTTTCACTTCAATAATTTGGGGATCAATCCCCAATGTAGCCGAATCTTTGTGAGTTTCTTCTTCATTGCTTATCGTATTGAATTTCTTCGTGTATGGTGTTTTTCCTCTTTTTGATTTCATGTTTTAATGGGTTAATAACTGAAACCTCTTATGCAATTTAGTTTGCTAACAGTGGAAGTTATAATACCCTATAATTATTTGCCATTTTCAACTTAGTCAGCTGTGTTTCTCTGTTGCAGTTGATTATCGTGACTGGTAAACTCAAAATTATGTTATAAACCGAAAATTTTTACATGAATTTTAGGGGTTTTGCTTTTATGTTGCTTTGGTTGTCCAAAATGCAGTTGGGTGTGTAGTGGTTTTTCTTAAAAATTGTTTTTTTTGTATGTGAAGTGTGTATGATGCGTGGATTGATCAAAATGCTATTGGGTATGCATTAATTTCTCTTAAAGATGTGATTTTTGGAATATGTTGCAACATTTTGATCGATTGGAGCTATATAACAAAGTGTGTTGTGTATGGATTAATTTGTTTCATTTTGCGCCGCCCTTAAGATCGCCTTCCATTATGCTCCATGGAAGCGTTTTGAGTCATAGCTGCGCTATATTAATTGTATATATGCACACTCTTTTGTATGTACAATTGTATATATGAAAGGTGTGTTATATGCTGGAGTTTTCTCTTTAGGGTTTTCCTTTAGTGAGTCTCCTTTTGCCTCGCCTTATTTCAGGAGTCATATCCTTTTTTTTTGGTTTTGTCTTTCCCAATTGGGGATATAGAACCAAAAGATGTTTTGAATGGCTCTAGTTGAGGTGGGGTGTACATTATTTTGTGATTTTTGTTTATTATATTTCCTTGTTCTTATGGCAAGAGTGATGAAAACAAAATTAGATGTGTGAGAGTTGAATTCCTCTATGAGCTCAATCATCGAGGCTTATTGATATTCTGACTTGCCTTTATGAAGTACTTTCGATTTTAAATATAGGAATTCTTTTGAAGTTTGTTGTCTCAATTTAGTTTTTACCATTTGTTTGGTTGCATATGTTTGTCACTGTGGCTAAATTGGAATGTTCTAGTTGAGTTGTTTTGGAATTTTGAAGTGTTGTGTATCTTTTGTGTTATGGAAACACATATACTTGGAATGTCTCTTGTTGATGCAGTGTATAGATTATATTGCAAACAGGTTCTTTTTAAAGTATATTTGTTTTTGTATGGCAAGAATGATTGGAAACAATTAGATGTGCGAGGGGTGAATTCCTCTATGAGCTTAAACATCGAGGCATATTGATATTCTGACTTGCCTTTAAGAACTACTTTCTTTTCGATTTAGGAAAAAGAGAAGTCCTTTGAATTTTTGTTTTTAGGACTTGGATAAGAATTTAAGTTAGTTTGAAATTAGAAAGGTGCCACCTTATATGACCATTGTGCCAATTTTTGGAGTTTTGGGGCTATGCTCCTTGTTTCTATCTTAATGATATGAGATTGTAAAGTTTATTGGTTTCTGTGGAGCTTTTTTTGTGGTGGTATGTGCATTATCTTTCTAGTTCTGTTATTAATATTGTTGTGTAATGTCAAGAAAGATGAAAAACAATTAGATGTGCGAGTGGTGAATTCCTCTGTGAGCTCAACCATCGAGGCTTATTGATATTCTGACTTGTCTTATGTAGTACTTTCTATTTGTTCTAAGACAAAATTTCAGCTTTGAAAATTAAGCATTTGTGTGTTTGAATAATTTGTCACTGTTGAAAATGAAAGTTGCTATCTTTTTGTTCCAACAAAAGATGCTTTGAATCTCCCTAATTTAGATGTGGTTTGCAGTATATTTCTATTTATATTCATAACATAACTTTGCTATGGCAAGAATGATGATAAACTATTAGATGTGTGAGTGGTGTATTCCTCTATGAGCTCAATCATCGAGGCTTATTGATATTCTGACTTGCCTTCTTAAAGTACTTACAATAGAAATAAATGGAACTTTTTAATTTTGTGTTCTACAAATATGCTTCATTATTGCATTTGTACTAATTTTTCACTTGAAGTTGTAGCAAATTGTTAAGTTGAAATATTTATCTGATTTAGACCTTAACTGAAGTTACACGTCAGGATATAGCCCATACTTTTTGTGGTGTCACATCCGTTGTTGATTCTACTTTTTTCTAGTTGAGGTGGAATTTGTGCTATATTTAGCCTTTGCTATGGCAAGCATGATGAAAAACAATTAGATGTGCGAGTGGTGAATTCCTCTATGAGCTCAATCATCGAGGCTTATTGATATTCTGACTTGCATTTGTGATTCACTCTTTTATTTTTTGATTTACATGGTGTTCATTGATCCCTTAATTTTTGTTGGACCTAACTATGACTATAAAAGTTCATTATTAACATTACTAACAGAAGATTTTGATGTAAATTATTATTAAATATATAATTTGGCTTCTTTTGGCATTTATAGTTAATTTTAGGTAGGTATGGGAATGATGAATATCTGTTGTGTGAAGGGAGAACTCCCTGTTGAATGTTTACACTAACTGCTTATTGATATTCTGAGCTTTCTCTTTTGATATTGTGCATCCATAATGTATTTGTTTCCACTCTTTCTTTCTTCCTGGTGTATTTTTTGTGTGTAGGTGATCTGCTAATACACTTTGGTAATTCAATTTATGGCAAGAATGATGAGTCTATTAGATGTGCCAGGGTTTTTTCCCCAATGAGCTAAAACTTCTGAGGCTTATTGATATTCTGACTTGCCAACATAATTCAAGAACCTTTGTTCCCACATCATCTTGTTTCTTTTTTTTCGACACAGCTGAGGCAACATGTTTCGTCTGTCTGAGCAACAGCAACAGATCAGTTTTCTGTGTCCATTCATTACAAAGTTCATCTCTTTTTTTTTGTTTGACTTATTTGTGTTTTCATAGTATATATCATATTTATTTCTACTTTGTTAATGATAAGGAGGAATTATGTATATGCAAGAGTCAGCAAATGACTCTGTGAGCTCCAATATTTATGCTAATGTATTCTGACTTACCAAACATTTTATACCTTTCAATGTTTTGTAGATTTTACCACTTCTCAGGATTGGTGTTTGCCCATTGTTCTTCTGTTTGGTAAAACATTTGGAGTACTCCGTAGTTCACGAGTCGACTTGTATATCAAGTATAGCTCCCACACCTGGACCAGGCTTAAAAACAACGAGTCTTTTCTTTTCAAGGTTAGACTCTATAGAATCAGAACAATAGTCTCATTGACCGTGGTCACGTCAGAGCCCTCTATTGTCTGTTGTAGGAAATTGATTGGTCTTTATACCGCACCTTACTTAATCTTCCGCCGGAACTGGATTCTCTAAAAAGCACTAATTGTACTTTTGTTTGAATACAATTTATCAGAAACAAATTTTGTCCATTTGAGCTTCTTCTTGTTATACAATTTATTTAGTTGGAAAAAACAATTGAACGAAAAAATATTAAAACACTTTCTTCAAAATAAGATGGTTGCTATTTTTATTTAACTCTGTAGAAACAAAAGATGAATTATTTATCCAGGAAATACCCAATGCAACATCATATTATTTAACATTATCTCAAACTATGTTATCTGAAAAATAAAACTATGTTAAAAAATAATCTGAAACTATTTTTCAGATAAGATTTAACCAATTATTTCCTTTCAATGACAAACTTCTTTTATTTGTTAGACCATTCTGTAGCTATGTAAATATAATAATAAAATAAAATATTAAAATTTAAAATTTAAAAGATATATCAATAAAATAAATACACGATTGAACAAATAATATAACGAAAACAACAATTTTGAAAGCAAAAACATAGCATTATTGTCATAAATTGAAAATAGAGGATAAATCTATATACATTTTTTTTGACTCGAGGGATATCTAATTTGATAAACAAAAAAAATAGAGTTGAAATATCAAAATAACAAACTCTTATATGTCCATCAAAATCTCATATTTCCCCCTTTTACCATAGTTCCTTTCTCCTTATTCTTTTTTTTTTCTTCAATATTGTATCTTAGCTTTGCCCATACTCCATGCATCCAAACTCTCAATTGTGATTGGCTCCGTTCCGTTGTTAAACGCGAATAAATGTGCCTCGTCGTTAATTGCCAATGTTGGATAAACCCTCGATGTTATACATGTCTTTCCACCAGCACCAAAAGTTTCTATAACTGAATTATCAATCTACAAAAAGAATTTCAATAGTTTAGATTCAAATGTTCGTTTAGATTTTTGATTAACGATAGAAAGAGAAGTTACCAAGCTTCTGAGTGACAATTTCTTGTCAGCCAAATCAACATCAACAAATCCAGCAAATGAAGCTTTGTACATTGTTTCATTGAACTTAAGAGTTGACCTATCAGACATAAAACAAAAGATTTGTCAATTTCTCAACTTCTCGATATTATACCGTCGAAAACGTTACCAACAAGTTAAAAATTCAATAAGTAGTACCTTTTAGCGTCAGAACACAAGAGAACCTTGTAGTTTTGCTGTGCTTTGAAAACTCGGAAGAAAACCGGTGTGTTTTCTTCCAAGTTTTCAGTAGCTAATGTAGCAAGACCAAATGGCCCAAGCCCACCTTGAACATCTGCACCCTTGAGTCCACAAACATCTTGTGCATACATATCATTCCATTTAGGATCAAATGACTCTGCCTTATCCAAACTTGCAAATGAGAATGTCACTTCAACATCAGCCTGTCATGTTTTTTCATTATTAAACACTTTCATCGTCGAGTGATATCATTTTCTTTTTGATCAGTTTTCAAAAAAAAAAAATCACATTTTTTTATATGGTAAATATTTAAAAGTACAGTTTCTATTTTATTCTTGTTGGACTCGCTTAATTTTAAAAATAGTACTCAAATACATTTATGAGGAGAGAGAAAAGTGAGTATTTTTGGAGAGCAATTTGGTACACATCTCAAAGTGTTTTATTTATTTCTTAAAACTCTCCGTCCGGTCAAATGTTGTTACATAAAATTAGACGGAGGGAGTAATTAAAAAAGAATGACCTAATTTGACTTGGAACGAAATTTAAGAAAAAAGAAAGAAGATTTTTTAATCTTGTGGTTCTAAATTCATGTTATGTCAAATGTATCAAAATGTTCTAATTCAAATGTACCAAAATGCCCTTTAATTATGTGGTTTTAAATTCAAGTTATGTCAAATGTACCAAAATGTCCTTTAATCTTGTGTTTCTAAATTTCAGTTATGTCAAATGTAACCAAAATGCTCTTTAATCTCGTGATTTTAAACATTTCACGTGAAAAATCAAAGTTAAAAGGTTATCCAAAAAGAAAATAGATCATTCTTTTTAAATTAAAGAGACTATAAAAGAAAATAGGGATATTTTTTTTTTGAAAACGGAGAGAGTAATAATAATAATAATAATAAATTAAAAATAAAAAAGTCTATATATATACCTGTGCTGGTGTGATTCCTGTAACTTCAATCTTCTCCCCATTGTTCATCTTCTTGTTGCTCAATTGAACCTTTTGAGTTCTTAGGGTTTCTAGTTCCTCCACAGGCCATTGAACCAACTGCTTACCACTTGGATCAAGCCATACTTTACGAGGAATCAATTGAATCCCAGCCCATCCCTTCGCATTATCATCCTCTGGGAATATATCTGATTCATTAGACCAACCCCAGATAACCCTTCGATTTTTGCTTGGATCGTAGAATGACTTCGATGCGTAGAAGTTACCGTAATCGAGTCTCAATCCCTTCAAACTATCGACAGAATCTGGATCTGGAACGTACCTATCTTTTTTCGTATCGTATTTTCCAAGTGTATAATACTCAAATCGAGTAAGATCCATACTGTTCTTCAGCACGTACTTGTGTTCCTCACCGTATTGATCCAACCCATCAGTACCTTTCGATGAAACTGGGTAAAAATCAGGGCATTCCCAGTTTCCAGTGCCGTTAGTTGAGTGAAGTGGGTGTTTAGCCTTGACCCATTTCATAAAGTCTTTGCTCCTATACATTATAGCTAAGCCCCTGCTGTGTTTCCTCAAACTTCCCATGACGATTCTCCAATGCCCGTCTTTACCCATCCATGCTGTTGTTGGGTCACGAAACTTGGTCTTGTTGATACTTTCATCGGCTATAATTAATGGGTTGTTGTCTGGCTTGATCCATTCGCGGAGATATGGATCGGATAAGTTAGCTGGGATTGCGTAGTTTTGGACTTGGGTTTGGTTGGCATCTATGATTCCGGTGTACAAGATGACTGGCTTGTTACCAGGTAGGATGGTTGCTGATCCAGACCAGGTACCGAATTGATCAAATGGCTTTGATGGGTAAATTGCAGGTTCTAAATTGATCCAATTGATCAAGTCTTTTGAAACGGAATGAGCCCAAACAATGTTACCCCATACTGAACCATTTGGGTTGTACTGGTAGAATAGATGATACACTCCATTGAAATACATTGGTGCTATGAAAAAAGAATTCAAACATCATTAGTTCACAAATATATCCAAAACTATTGTAAATGGTTTGCAGATATTCTTCGTCATACTTTAGGTGCCCTACCGTCCAAAAACTAGAGCTATACCCTTCACTCGTGGTACAATCGATTCGATATCGGGATAAATAAAGGATATATGTGTTCTAGTTTTTTGACGGCAAAAATGTCTCTAAAGTATAACAGAGGATACTGGTGCATACTATTTATAATAGTTCGGGGATATATTTATCCTTTTTTCCCTATATTATATAATAAGAATAAAATAAATTTAAAAAATATACAAAAATATAGTTAACTTACCATTGGGATCTATTGTATGTTTTGACCAAGAGACATCATTCAAAGAAAAATAAAAAAAATTAGTGAAGATTAAATAATATTAGAAACAACGAAAAAAGACGAAAATCATACTAATACATGTCAATGTATCTATTGACAAATGGTGAGTACTCGATTATTTGTTAGCGTCAAAAAAATCACTAGTATTAAATCTAGACTAAACACAACATGTTCGTTTTATTATATATATATATAAAAAAAAGACGAAAAAAAGGAATAAACATACCATTGATCCAATGTTTTTCGGGCTGAAAATGATAACCAGTTCGATGAACAGTATGAACATTTACAGCATTTTGAGATTGCAAGTGAATAAAAACTTTATGAGAAGCAAAAACAACATTATTGGATAATAAAATTACAAAAAAGCAAACTAAGATAACTGGCAAAGCCCAACGAGAACTTTTATTAGATGAATAATCCATAATTTTTATTTTATTTTAATGATTGGGCTTTGACAGATAGTGATATTTAATCTAAATAATTTTTTTTAATTTTTTTTTTTTTGGATAAGGAGAAAAGAAACATGGGAATGAAGAACAAATGAAAATTATGAAGAGTATTTATAGTGAAAAAAATGGGTAGAGTTTGTTTTTGATTGAAAGATGGAGAGTTAATTTAGGTTTTTTTTAAAAAAATAAATAAATGGATTGGATTATTAATTTTTATTTGTTTGCATAATATTTATCTACAATTTTGTGTGATTTGTTGGTTATTGTTACCTTTTATGAGTCTGTTTTACTATTTTTTTTTTGTTAGAACAAGTCTTTTGCCATTTAATTTGCTATTTCGTTTTTTTAATGTTTTGACTTTTTGAGTGTGTAAAAAAAAAAGGAATTCAAAAAAATAATGCAAAATTTGGGATTTTTCAATTTAAATAAATAAGATAAAGTGGTAAATTTGACCTTAAAAAAAGATTAAAAAAGAAAAGAACTCATGATTAAAAATAATGTTTAATGGCGACTAATATACTGGCCACGAGTTTTTAGAGTCGCCACTTAAAATGTTAATTTTTTGTTACGAGGAAGTAGTCTCCACGAAGGCGTAAAAAAAACATGATTTCTTGTTACCTTGAAAAGTATAAGTTTTTTCTTCACATTATTTATATAACGTGAAATTTGATCATATAAATTTTATTCCTACGGCGAATAGCCCTAAAAGAATAATAAGAGACGATATGATACATCTCTTAAAGTTAAAAATAAACCATCAAGTGTTTTTGAACAGATTTGATTATGAATGGAAGTATCGACTTCGTTAGGTTACTCTATTTTGGGCATCTTTATTCATTTGCGATTGTTTTTGGAAGCTCATCCTTCCTTCTTTGCTTTTATAGTTCGTCATTAATTAAATATTCGATATTCTTATTTGTAATATTATCATAAAGTGTGTTATAAATTATACAATAATTATAACCTATTTAATTCTTTCGTCTTCTCATATTTTACATGCTTTTTCATAGGGATTTGGTGCCTCAATAGAATTAGTAAGGTAAAACTTTTGTCCTATCGATTACTTGCAAGGCGAATCGCTAATGCTTAAATTAAAAAAACATTAATATAGCCAGACCCTTTAAATCCAGGATTCGTCTCTGCTTACTTACTTACTTGTACTCTTCTCTTTGAACTTCTTATTATATTTTTGAATAAAATAAGTCACATAACAACTTGCCTAATATTACCAAATATTAGTTCTACATAAGACCACACATTTGATTATGTTACAAAACAAAAAGGAAAGCTAACAAATTTCTTACTTAATATATATATATATGGTACTAGAAAAATCCATACACACACTTTGCCTTCTAAATTCACCAAAATAAATTAGAGACAATTATAGAGGATTTTTGTGAACATCATCTACTGTTAAATTTAACACAATTTTTGTCTCTTTAGACATATATAATTGTAGACATAATTCCAATTTTTTTGAAAATATTTAGTTCATCTTACATGCATCCATGCTCCAAGCATTCAGAGTCTCAATTGTGATTGTCTCAGAGCCATTGTTAAAAACAAATAAATGTGCATTATCATAAATCGCTAAAGTTGGATACACCCTTGATGTTATGCATGTTTTGCCACCAGCACCGAAACTTTCCACTACTGAGTTATCAATCTAAAAAAAAATATGCATATGATACAAATTGATTAGTCAAACACAAATCGTTACTCTTCAAATTAATCGAATCTTGAAAGTTTTGATCAAATAAATTATAAATAAATAAAAATTGTGAAAGCAAAACTTACCAAACTCCTAAGAGATAACTTCTTCATGTCTTCTAAATCTACATCTACATATCCAGCAAATGAGGGCTTGTACATTGCTTCATTTTGTCTCATGGAAGATCTGCTCATTAATTAAAAAAAAAAAAAACCTAAACAAGGTTAGAGTTTTTTAATGACACTAACGGGCGATCTATAAGTAAATGCATTTCTTATCATGATATCAAAGTCGGGTCATTATAATTCTCGATTTACTCAATTTGGAGAAGATGTGAACTTCGATCATTACAATTAATTGGATTGAAGAAACAAACCTTCTAGCATCTGAGCACATGAGAATCTTATAACTTTTTTGAGCCTTGAACACTCGGAAGAAAACAGGTGTGTATTCTTCTAAGTTTTTAGAAGCTAATGTCACAAGCCCAAATGGTCCAAGCCCACCTTGGATAGTCGAACCCTTAATGGCACAAACGTCTTGGGCATATAGGTCAGCCCATCTAGGATCAAATTGTTCGGCCTCGTTCAAACTTGAAAATGAGAACAGCACTTCAACATCAGCCTACGATCAAAGAAATGCAAGATGAGACAGTGCAATTGATATAATAGAGATATATATATAGCAAATGTATAATCAATCGATCATGTGCATTTGATATAATAGTTATACATTGATTATACATATAAGAAGTAGATTAATGATATTTAAAAGACTATAGTTTAATAAGGAAAAGTTGAAACCTGTGATGCTGAGATCCCTTTAACTTCAAACATTTCTCCCTTGCTCAACTTCTTGTTGTTCAATTGGACCTTTTGCTTCCTTAGGGTTTCTAATTCTTCAATAGGCCATTGAAGTAATTGTTTACCACTAAGGTTTAGCCATACTTGTCGCGGAATACCTTGAATTCCAGCCCATCCTTTCTTAATTTCATCGTCAGGTAATACATCGGATTCATTTGACCAACCCCAAATAACCCTTCGATTTCTGCTAGGATCATAGAATGTCTTCGATGCATAGAAATTACCATAGTCGATTCTCAATCCCTTCCAACCATCAATTGAATTGTTATTCGGAATATACCTATCTATTTTGGTGTGATACATGCCAATAGTGTAATAATCAAACCTAGCAACATCAAGACTATTCTTGAGGACATATTTAACATTTTTTCCGCGATACGATACATCTAAACCATTGGTACTATTAAATAATACAGGGAAAAAATCAGGACACTCCCAATTTCCAGTATTAGTAGATGAATGAAGTGGATGTTGGGCTTTGATCCATTTCATAAAATCTCTACTTCTATACAACAATGCCATCCCTCTATGTTTTCTCATACTTGCTATTAAAATCCTCCAAAGCCCATCTTGGCCCATCCAAGCTGTAGTTGGATCGCGAAACTCAGTTCTATTGATACTGTTATCAGGGACGATCAACGGGTTGTTGTTAGGTTTGATCCATTTACGAAGAAATGGATCAGATAGGTTAGCCGGGATGGCGTAGTTCTGGACTTGATTATTATACGAATCTACTACTCCGGTGTATATGATAACAGGTTTGTTATTAGGTAAAATAGTTGATGATCCAGACCAAGTACCATACTTGTCAAATTTTTTGGATGGATAAATTGCAGGTTCTAAATGGATCCAATTTATCAAGTCTTTTGAGACTGAATGAGCCCAAATAATATTGCCCCATACTGATCCTTTTGGATTGTATTGATAGAATAAATGATACACTCCATTATAATACATTGGTGCTGTTTGAAAAATAAAATGAAAATCAATAATATCATTGAGTTATTGATAAAATTAAATGAAAAATAATCTAACTTACCATTAGGGTCTTTGTATATTTGAAAGGCATCCAATGGAGAGAGACCATATAAGAATTATACAAAAAAAAAATGATTAGTGAAGATAATAGAATACATTACATAGTCTTTCATCAATTATTGATTAAAAATTATGTAGTAATTAATAAATGAAAGGTGAAAAACACAGAAACTAATTAGTTTTCTCTGCGAAAATTAATGAATCCTTTTAATTTATGTGATATACCTAATTAAAAAATAAAGAAAAAGGTGTTTGCAAAATTATGATCTGAAAACGTGTCATGAGATTTATTGTGATTATAAAAAATATACATATTATGTAGAATGATATAGAAAGTAGTCGTTCTGTAGATAACAAATTAAACAAGAAAATTGTGTCATATAAAAAACGAAATTGATGAGGTAATTTTTTTGGGTGGGGTGGGGGTGGGGGTGGGGGTTGGGGGTTGAGGGGGGGAGTCAACTTTATAAGAGACAATATGTTTGGTAAGTTTAAATTAACATAAGACCTACATATATTAATTAAATGCACACAATATATGAGTATGAAATGTCACTATATTTCATTAATAATAATAATAATTATAATAATAATAATAAAGGGTGCCTTCAACAAATTAATTTTCACCTAAATTCCATGGCCAAAATCTTAGGTTTTTATATATTTCATGTTTCTTTCTCTCTTTTGCACATTCTTATCCAAAACGTTGTAGTTCTCTTGCCATGATAATTAATCTAATTTCGAATTTAAATTTTGAGAATCGAGTTACTCATAGTTGGTCAGGAGTGATTCTATCTTTAAAAGTGAGATATTTTAACGCAGATTTAAATAAATTAAACTTAAAAATAAATATCGAATACTGAAAACTAACATAAATGAACCACATAATGATGTATATGTGTGTATGTAGATATAATTTTGAAATATAAAGAATGATCAATCTTATATATATGTAGCTATAAAGATAGTTAAAAAAAAACATTTTAAAACAATGTAACCATAAAAGAAACATCAACATTTGAACTTCTCTATATATAAAAAAATATTTTCGTTTATTTCTGTAGTTTTATCACCTAAATAATGCAATATTAATTGCACCATCAATTAATTTAATCGTACTGATATATATACCAAGTCAATAAATGTATATGACATGCATTTATACACAAACTTTTATTACTATGTATATTTATATAAGCAAAGTCATATAATCAAATTCGAATTTAAATAACAAACCACATTGCTAACGTTAAATTTATCGCATGTTATATAAAATAAAAAAAAAATGAACATACCATTAATCCAATGTTTAGGAGGTTGAAAATGAAAACGAGTTCTATGAACATTCTTGACACTAATAGCACTTGAAGATTGCAAGTCCAAAAAAATATTATGAGAAGCAAATGCCCTATTAATGTTTGATAAAATTATAAATAAGCAAA